CAGCAGCCGCGAGTCGTGGACGCGGACGCTCAGGGAGTTCGCCTCCCCGCGCGCGCTCAGCAGCCGCACGCGGGCCTCCCGGGTCCGGAAGCCGAGCGTGAGGCCGGTGAGCTCCCGGCGGATGCGCCCGTTGCTCCTGAAGACCAGCTCCGCGTCCTGCACGCCCAGCACCGCGTCCGCCCGGCCTGCGGAGAGCGGCCTCGGTCAGCCGGCTGCGCCACGGTGACGCGGACGGCTCTCTGGGCACAAGCGATTGCCCACGGGCGCAGGCCTCGGCTGTGTAGGCGCAAGCGATTGCTCTTTAGGCACAGGCCTCAGCTCTATAGGTGCAGACCACTGCTCTATAGACGCAAGCCACTGCTCCATAGCGCAGGCCTCACTCTGTAGGCATAAGCCACTGCTCTATAGGCGCAGGCCACCGCGATGCTTGGTGCACCGCGTTGCTGGTGTCCCCCAACTCTTGAATGATCATGTCCACCTTTTGCTATGGAAGAAATTGAGCCGTACTGTATCACGGCTCCACGGATGGATCACCAACCCCAAATGGCAAACTCGGATGATGGTCCAGTCCCCAAATCCAAGCCACACAGCACCCCCCCCAATGAAATAATAACAAATACTAATTTTTATTCTATAATTGCTCTAAAAATAAGATATTAATTATTCATTTTATATGTGGCCAAATCGAGAACAAGGTAAATGACACCTTTAGCTCTTAAGAGCACAGTATATTTACAGTGGTTCAAGTGGTAGAGCACTGGCCTTGAGCAAAAGAAGCTCAGGGACAGCACCCACACCCTGAGTTCGAGCCCCAGGACTGGCAAAAATCAAACCAAACCAAAGATATAGAAACAGTAAATTTGCAGTGGAATCTGGCTTCTGAAAAGGCAACTGGCAGGCAGTTAGAGGTCAAGGGGAGGAGAGAGATGAATGGACAGGGAAGGGGGAAGAAGGCAATCATAATATTCACGCATATCCTGTGAAACTAGGAAAATTGAAGGGAGAGGTTGAGTTGGAGGGGACCAGGGAGGATGATGAAGGTGGTGACATCAATGGAGATGAACGGCATAACTGGACATTTGTACAACGACTTTGTATAACTACTCAAAGATAAGTTCAAGAAGGATACATAAAATGGACATGAAATCAGTGTTCAAAATAACGAATTGCTTAAAGTGCCAACACTCCTAGAACCAAGTAACTTTAGGTGGTTGGCTATATGTGTGTATGTGTGTGAGTGTGTGTGTGTCTGTAAATACATAATACACATCATCTTGTGCCAACCTATTATATGGGAAACAGAGGACTTTTATGTGATTTTTTTTGGGGGGTCCGGTCGTGGGGCCTGAACTCTGGGGCTGGGCACTGTCCCTCAGCTCTTCAGCTCAAGGCTAGCGCTCTACCACTTGAGCCACAGCGCCACTTCCGGCTTTGTTCTTTTTGCTTATGTGGTGCTGAGGAATCGAACCCAGGGCCTCAGGCATGCAAGGCAAGCACTCTACCACTGAGCCACCTTCCCAGCCCCTTTTATGTGATTTTTTATCTTGTTTCTATATTAAAAGTATAATTTTGTCAGTATGGTGACCCATACTTATACCTCCAGCCTCTTACATGGTTGGTGCCTGGTGGCCTCCACTTGTCATCCTAGTTCTATGGGGATCATAAATAGGAGGATTGCAGGCCAGGCTTGCCTGGGGATGAGATGTGAGACACACTCGCCCAACGTAGCTAGGGCAGAAAGGGAAGAGACGTGGCTCAGGTGGCAGAGTGCCTGTCTAATAAGTATCAGCCCCTGAGTCACACCCCAGGTACCAGAAAAAAATAATATTTCCCCCTAGTCTACAAAGTAATTCAGAGTGTGTTCTTTCTCTTGAAACATCTAACCACGTCTCGGCTCCTGGGTTCTGGGATACGTTGCTGAAGAAACCAGAGAAAGGAGAAGTGTGCTCAGCTTTCCACCACAGGGGCTAGTTTTCACCCTGACTGGCTTTCACTCTGTTACAAATCCTGTGCTGTCCTCATCCT